ACAAATTTTGATGTAAATTTCTTGTTGCGTTAATTTTTTTGACCAGTGTATATCCCAGCAAACACCAAAGTAACAGTTACATAACATAAATATAAATGTAATATAACACATGTCTGTTAGATTACATTTGCATTGATGTTATGTAATTGTTACTTTGGTGTTTGCTAGGATGTATTTTGACATATACGAGGTCTGTTCAAAAAGTATCGCGAATTTTGTGTTTTTTCAAAAATTATTTATTTATTCATGAATATCTATGTTGTCCCCTTCAAAGTAATCCCCATCAGATATTATACACTTGTGCCAACGATTTTTCCAATCTTCGAAGCACTTCAAAAAATCATTTTTTGTGATCTTGTTCAGCTCTTCCTTCGATGCCGTCTTTATCTCCTCAATCGTGGCGTAGCGTCGTCCTTTCATGGGCCTCTTCAGTTTCGGGAACAAGAAAAAGTCACAGGGGGCCAGGTCTGAGGAATACGGTGGCTGCGGCATCATTAGTGTGTTGTTTTTGGCCAAAAATTCGCGCACAAGCAACGATGTTTGAGCAGGGGCGTTATCATGGTGCAAAAGCCAATTTTTATTCTTCCACAAATCCGGGTGTTTCTGGCGGATTGCTTCGCGCAAATTGCGCATAACTTGCAGGTAATATTCCTTATTGACCGTTCTACCCTGTGGCAAGAACTCATGATGCACCACGCCCCTGCAATCGAAGAAAACTGTAAGCAAAACCTTCACATTCGACCGAACTTGGCGCGCTTTTTTCGGTCTTGGCTCGTGCGGCAGCTTCCATTGGAATGATTGAGCTTTGGTTTCCACGTCATAACCATAAACCCATATTCGTCACCAGTTATGACCCTCTGGAGCAAATTTGGGTCGTCGCGGACAGAGTTCAACAGCTCCGTAGCAGTGTTAATGCGATGCTGTTTTTGGTCGAAAGTGAGCAATTTTGGTACGAATTTCGCGGCGACCCGTCTCATGCCCAAATCATTGGTAAAAATCGAATGGCACGAGCCAATCGATATGTTTAGGTCCACAGCAACTTCTCTAACGGTGATTCGACGATTGGCCAATACTATTTTCTTCACTTCATCAATGTTTTCGTCTGTTATTGACGTGCTCGGGCGTCCGGCACGCTCTTCGTCGTTCACATCTTCTCGGCCCTCTGAGAACGTTTTGTACCACCGATAAACGTTGCTTTGGTTCAAGGTAGCTTCACCATATGCCACAGTCAACATTCGGAATGCGTCCGCGCACTTAATTTTGTTTTTCACACAAAATTTGATACATATTCTTTGATCCATTTCTTGAAATAGGCAAAAATCGAAGACGAGCCAAAACACGTCCAAGCAAAATAGCTGTCAAAAATTAACTGAACATTCAAAATGGCCGAACTTGTCAGCATGAGTGAGGGACATGAGTACCAACATAACGCCACAAAAAATCGAAAATCGAATATACGTAGCCCGCGGAAATTCAAAATTCGCGATACTTTTCGAACAGACCTCGTATATTGGAATTTTTGTCTTCTAGCATCGCTATTTTTTTCTGTTGGTTGGTTGATTGGTTGGTGATGAGTTTCATATAATAAATGATTTTCCATATAATAATTGTATTTTTATCTTG